ACAAACTAATACATGTAAACTAAGCAAAAGTTTCAAAGTCAATAGACCATGACTGAGGGGGCAGGGCAAAATAATCTCCATGGAAATGAGATGTGCCAATGCTTATACAACTGCATACAAAAAATTATTCACCTACCACTTGTGGATACCATAAACTAGACCTAATCACAAACTAATACATTGTTGACGCTGCCGCAGACGCTGTTGTCGTCATCACCAACGCCGGAAACAGCATACCTATGTCTCGCTTTTTGACTCCGTCAAGGCGAGACAAATACGAACTTTACTGACCATTGATTTTATGTTGAAAGTCCTAACTAAACATTTCACATAAACTTAACATGATCCAAGAAAATGAGGTTAAAGTCAGATAAACCAAGCCAGAAATACATGTACACCTTACAATCATTCCATACTGGAAATATAGTTGACCTATTGCTTATAGTATCCAGAAACAGACCAAACCATGAAAACTTAATATTAACCAATGAACTATGAAAATGAGGTCAAGGTCAGATGATACCTGCCAGACAAACATATACACCTTACAATCATTCCATACACCAAATATAGTTGACCTATTGCTTATAGTTTTAGAAAAACAGACCAAAACACAAAAACTTAACAGTGAACAATGAACCGTAAAAATGAGGTCAAGGTCAAATAAAACCTACCAGACTGACATGTACATGTAAAATATTTCCATACACCAAATATAGTTGACCTATTGCATACAGTATTAGAAAAACAAACCAAAACACAAAAACTTAACTTTAACCACTGAACCATGAAAATGAGGGCAAGGTCAGATGACACCTACCAGTTGGACATGTACACCTTACAATCATTCCATACACCAAATATAGTAGACCTATTGCTTAAAGTATCTGAGATATGGACTTGACCACGAAAACTTAACCTTGTTCACTGATCCAAGAAATGAGGTTGAGATCAAGTGAAAACTTTCTGACAGGCATGAGGACCTTGCAAGGTATGTACATACCAACTATAGTTATCTTATTAATCATAATAAGAGAGAGATTAACATTACAAATAAACTTTTAACATAGAGATGTCTCGCCTTTTTGTTATTTTGATAGTAAAACGCAAATGTTGAAATTAAAAATAAACCATGACTGAAGGTAGAGTGCCTAAAAATCTCCATGGAAATGAGATGTGGCAATGTTAATACATATGTTTACCAAATATCATTGACCTACCACTAGTGGTTCCCCAATAACAATAACCTTCCTAATCACAAACTAATACATTGTACATGTAAAGTAAGCAAAAGTTTCAGTCAATAGACCAGGACTGAGGGGGCGGGGCCAAATAATTACCATAGAAATGAGATGTGCCAATGCTTACATAACTGGTACCAATTATCATTGACCTACCACTAGTGATTCTCCTTAAACTGACCTAATCACAAACTAATGCATGTAAACTATGCAAAAGTTTCAAAGTCAATAGACCATGACTGAGGGGGGGAAAAGGGGGGGGGGGCAAAATAATCTCCATGGAAATGAAATGTGCCAATGCTAATACAGCTGCATCCTAAATAGCATTGACCTACCACTAAAGGTTCCCCACAAAACTGACCTAATCACAAACTAAAACATTGTTGATGCTGCCGCCGCAGAAAACAGCATACCTTTGTCTCGCTTTTTTACTCCGTCAAGGCGAACAAAAATCTTTTTTTTTTTCAAGCAGTCACTGCACCATGAAAATGAGGTCAAGGACAATGGACATATGACAGAAGGAAACTTCATAACATAAGGCATCTATACACAAAGTATGAAGCATCCAGGTGTTCTACCTTCTGAAATATTTAGCTTTTTACTACGGTAGTTAGTTAATGCAGCTGTCGCAGCACCTTTGCCACTGCTGATCACTATCCCTATGTCTTGCTTTCTGCAACAGAAGTTGCAAGCTCAACAAAAATCATAAGGGAGCGTTCTTTCATCAATTCTAATGTTATATTTAAGTTATATGAGAATTTGTTGAAGCTGAAGGACAGATGGACAGAAGGGCATTAGTATACCATAACACTGCCTGTCATCAACAGGCATATAAAAACGACCAAAAGACAAACATTGATCATTTTTCTATTATTTTGAGATAATTTTTAAATTACATAATAAGATATTATACTGCAACTGTCCTTTTTACAGAGACTATGACAACAAAAATAAATAACTGTTGACACAGAGATTATTCTCACCTGCCTGTAATTTTGGTAGAATGATGTAAACTTGAGACACTTAAACATGTAAACTAAGCAAACCTTCAACAGACCATGACTGAGTGGGTTGGGTAAAAAAACTCCATGGAAATATGATGTGGAAATGCCAAAAGAACTGCATACCAAATATTATTGACTGACCATTAGCGATACTTCATAAACAAACCTACCACAAACGCTTACATGTAAACTATGCTATTGCTGAAACTGTATGTCTTTTGTAATTTTTTTTTTTCTTATTGAAGTATACCTAACATCTCCTTTTAATCATATTCTGAAGTTTCAAGGGCAATGGACCACTACTGAGGGGGCAGGGCCAAAAAAATCTCAATAAAATGAAAAGCACCAAAGCATTTTACAATCATGAGAACTGCACACCAAATACCATAAGGGGGTTCGCCTTAAATGGACTAGATAAAAACTTCAGTATGTTTACTTACTAAAATTCAAAGTATATGGACAATGACTGAGGGTGTGGGGCCAAATAATCCCCATTAAAATGAGATATGCAATACAACTAAACAAGACATTATTAATTTACCATCAGTGGTACTTCTTAAAATGAACTAATCATAAAATTTAACAATTTTTTATGCTGACAATGCCATTCTGGAAACAGCAGGCCTAAGTCTGGTTTCATTGCAGGCTAGACTAATACAAGCACTTTTCAATTGTATGACTGCGAAAATTGTTGACATCATATAAGAATCTAACACAAATACAATACAAGAGGCTGTCAGAGTGACAGCAAACCGGATTTCATGCAGAACAGTTGAGCAAGTATGGACACTACATTTAAGCTTAAAACAGCTCTGAATTTGGATTGTGATTGAATATTTGACACAGCATAGGTGTGTGACACAAAATGAATGTGGTCAAAGAACTGAAAAATTTGAAATTGGACATTTACCTATTATGGTTCAATATCCAAAATCTAAGTACATTGTTAGAATCAGCATATCAAAGAACCCCAAGAATTCAATTTTTGATGAAATCAAACAAAATTTTAATTTAGGACCCTTTGGACCTCAATGTGGACCAATTTTATAAAGGAGCCCAAAATCCGAATTCTCTGAATACATGGTTAGATTCAGCATTTCAAAGAACCCCATAAATTTGATTTTTGTTAAAATCAAACAAAGTTTAATTTTGGACCCTGATTTGGACCAACTTGAAAACTGGGCCCAAAAATCCAATATTTAAATACAGGTTTAGATTCAGCATTTGAAAGAACCCTTTATATATATAATTTATGTTGAAATGAAACACAGTTTAATTTTATCCATATACTTATTAATTTTCTGTTCAAAGGGAAATAACTCAAACTGAATAAATGATATACAAATAGTTCTCTAAAATTAGATATGATTTAACCACTAAAAAATAGTTCTCTAAAATTAGATATGATGTTATATCTATTTTCAAATTGTAATCAATAAAATTAGATATGATTTAACCACTAAAAAATAGTTAGAATCAAATAACACCAAGAATTAAATTTTTTATGAAATTAAACAAAATTTTAATTTAGGACCCTTTGGACCTCAATGTGGTTTTATCTAATTAATAATGAAAAGAAATACAGTTTTAGATTCAGCATTTCAAAGAACCCTATATATATTCAATTAATGTAGAAATCAAACACAGTTTAATTCTTGACCCCGATTTGGACCAACTTGAAAACTGGGCCCAAAATCAGAAATCTAAATATATGTTTATTAATAGAATATAAGTTTAGTTTTTAAAGGAGTTTACTTCATCAAACAAATATATATATAGCATTCAGAAAATTAGTTTATACAGAATAACAAACAAACCTACCACAAAATTCTTCAAACAACTTACCAAAGAACAGAAAAAAAAAATCCAAAATGTCATTTATCATTAATACAATGTCTTTTAAAAATCTATAAAACTTTTCTGTAAGTGTAATCAAACTTAATATATATAATTAACCATTTCTGTTCAAAGGGAAATAACTCAATCACATAATAAGTACCACTTTTGGCTACTGGAAAGGGCTATAACTCAAAAACGAGAAAAGCTAAAATCGTGAAAATTGAACTTGACCTTCATCTAGTCACAGAAAACAACATATCTAAATTTGAAAAAATTTCATTAAAGTGTTTTCATGTTAATGAACGGACACTGTTTGGCAGCTACCTGCCCGCCCGCGGTACATCCCCAAATCAATAACCGATAGTTCCTTCGAAAATCCAGTTAATAATGAATAATAAACTGTCCACACAGAGATATGTCTCGCCTATCGGCATAAAATTCAGAGAAAAAGACAATTGGATGGACAACAACATTGTTAATTTTTTTCAAAGTCACTAGACCATGAACTAGTGGGCAGGGCCTCAAAATAGTCAACAATCTAAGATGTACGGACAGTAATGTAATTTTATAGAAAATATAATTGTCTATTGTAAGTAGTTCCTATTAAACTAAATAAAGCAGAAAACTTAACATTGAAAATTGTTTATTAATTGAAAGCAACTGGACCATGAGCTAGGAGGCAGGGCCTCAAAATAGTAATCAAACTGAAATGTACTGATAGCAATACAACTTCATACAAAATATCATTGATCTATCATGCAAGTAGTTCCTATCAGAAAAACTTAAGCAGAAAACTTAACAATTGTTGACGCCAATGTCATCATCATCTTCTTTGCTGGAAAAGCAATTCCTATGTCTCGCTCAACGCGACTTTCGTCACAGGCGAGACAAAAATGAATGAAATTAAGAACCAATATAATTACTCAAAATATTTATGTGCAAAAGATAATCTCAGTTATTCCTTGTTTGTCAGCTATTACCGTACACAAAATTAACAAAACTTGTTTGAATTTAGCCTCATTTACACTGCTAAACACTATTTGGATGATTGCTTCATGAATGATCTTGTCAAATCGATTAAACTTTCATCTTTCTTTCCTGGCATCTTCTTTTAATTTCATATGCATCAATTCAAGACAGGATGCAGCATCTTCCATACTGTCATGTCCACCAACTGAAAACAGTAGAAAATTTTGAAAACATGATCTTTTCTTAACTAATGGCTCCTAGGAGCCTGAATTGATCTACAGGCAAATTAACTCATCAATTGCTCAAAAGAAGATAAATTGTGACAAATTTAGGTTGGATGGATTTGATTTCATCAATCCTTTCAAGTTTCAAAACATTTCGCCTTTTTAGAGGTGATTTTTGAAATTGTTGGATCAGAGTCAAGGATTGATTTTGGAAGCTATGCTGTTAATCAGATGATGATGATCAAAACCAAATTAGGATCAATTGTAGAGGACCTCCATACATCATTCCTGCCAAGTTTGGTTAAATTTGGCCAAGTAGTTTTAAAGAAAAATATAAAATGTGATCTTCCTCATGGTTTCAATAGGAACTATGTGCCTCCAGTTCAACCATGTTTGCCATAGCTCGAAATTCATAAAAGAACATTTAAAAATTGGCTAAAAGAATTAAAATCGACTCTTTTCATCTGATTGGAAAGAAATGAGGTATTTTTATAAAAGACCTTAGAATGTTATACATGTATTGTTTCTGACTATTTTGGGTCAAATAGGCCTTGCAATTTCAGATGAGATGATGAAAAGTAAATTGTCTAACAATGCAAGAATGGACGAATGGATTGATGCAAAGTGATGACAAAAGCTCAACAGATCTATAAAGTTAAGTTTAAAAGATAAAATAAGCTATTATACAAAATATGAATAAAGCCAACAAATGAACAAGGAAGAAAAAAATTAATCAGTAAGCTATTTTAAACACATAATGTTTCATCAAAGGGATAAAACATCAATACAAAGTATTTGGGCCCTATTTATCCTAAAAAATTAAGTCCATTGATTCAAGACAAAAATTGATGAATAAACTGACATTGTACGAAAAAAATTGCAAGTAATCAACTGTCCACTCTGGGGACTATATTTGTAAACAATGACAATTAAAGGGTAATAATTGTGATTTCATGCCATCTCCCATTCAATTCAAAGGGGTCTTGGTATTTTTCTCTAATAAAAATTCTTTTGTAACCAGTATATCTGATTTATAGTAAACAGTCATCAGCTTTTCTGACATGACTTTGTGTCTCTGAAAAATTAGCTTTGCTTAATTTTTTTTATTCAGAACAATAAGAAATCTGCATGGTTTACTTTCCCACATTTTGAAGGAAGGACAAAGCCTCTTATTATTTTCTTGAGCATCTATGTAAGTGAGTTCCTGTACATGTTACTAGGAAGATTTTTTTAATGGAATAAACATATTGTTTGACCATTTTTGTGTCCTGTCAGATCAATAACATCTGAATGGAAATATTTTTCATTTGATTTCAACTCAGATCTCAGTCAACTGACCGTGCGAGACCCTCAATGGTAGTCAAGGTCATTAAACACCCCCTAGTAGTGGGTCTCAGCTTTTCTATGAATACTGCAGTTTGCTGAAATGGTTTTCAAAAAATTTGAAAATCAGCATACATTTATTTGTATTTAAGGGAGAACAGGTTCAAAGAAGTAAAATGTGTGAAAACTTCTGACAGGAATTTATAATGTGCACATACATTTTCTGACGACTCATAAATTTGCATAAATATGCAAATTTCACTGAAATTGTATGTGAAAATTATCATCACAGATTTTATTTGATACCAAGTTTGCTTATATATCTATCATAGTTTAAAAGTTATATCAAAATAAAGGAAATATACTTAGTATAAAGTATACTTGGCATGAAGGAGAAATTTTTTCTCTAATGCTTGAGTCCCTAATAACATTTGATAAATATTAATAATACAACAGCAGCAAGAATGAAATGCAGTGTGTACAAAGTTAATACAAAGTCTTAGCAAGGAGGTTATATGAGAAGGAGAGTGAACACTCTGCTTGATACAAAATTAGCATCCCCAGGACAGCAATTCGATCAGAGGAAAATGATAAAAATATAAAGAAAAATACATGTTTATCACCCACTTGATATGGCCCTCTAATGTACCAGGCTGTTACCGCGAACAGTTCGTGTGATTGGGAAAATCGCTAATGTCACCTGATTCTAATCGGTGACTGGGTAATTAAAATACAGGTGTAATTATCGTAGCAAATCAGTTTAAATGTGTTTTTAATGTGCAATAACATTTGACATGAAATTCGATAGTATATCGTCTAACTACGGCGAAAAACGACTCAGAAATGACAAAGTTATGAGAATTTACAGAAATTTAAGAATGCAATTTCTATTCAACCCCACCTTGCTTAAAACAAAGATTTTCGCTTTACCTCTCTACCTATATCATAGAAAATAGAGGAACATGCGAGATACCTTTGTTACGCAACCAGTGGCGACCAGAGCGAATATTTGTAATTGAAACAAAGAAAAATTTATCAAAAACCAATGAAAAGTTTGTTTCTCATGGCGTTAGGCTGTAGATATGAGGAGAGGCCCTTAGATTTTCACTTAACAAGTTGGTTCATAGAAATGACAAATGGCACGTTATATCCTCGGAAGTAGAGAAATATGTGAGGTATCTTTGTTACGGTGACATGTTGTGACTGGTGCGATTTTTTTTTTTATCCTGGGAAAATTTCAGTCTTACTCAGGCGGAAAGCTGTAAACATCAGGACATGTGGAAATAGGACAACAGAAAACATTCGGTGTGTATGTTTTAATAGCCTGGATACCTTGCCAAACCTGCACTTCACGCAAGTATGTCTCTATATATATAAGTTTTGAGAATTGAGCCAGGTTCCAAGGCTTATTTTGTAAAACCTCAGATCTGGGTCGATTTATAACACTTTGGGTGTTTCCGTTCTTACTTGGATGTGTAATTAGGACAAAGACTCCCTCTGCCACTGCATCAATCTCAACTAATTAACACCCACTTACAGAAAAGGCGGTAACATTTTAAGTGTAATTATTGTCTTATGTGCTCTCTCCTTTTTATATAACCTCCTTGGTTTACTTTTACAAATTGTGACTCGATGGAGAGTTGTCTCATTGGCACTCATACCACATCTTCTTATATCTATTATGTACTTTGATAAACATTAAAGGAACTTTGAGTGCAACCACAGTTGCTACATTTGTTCTCAAATAGAAACAAAATTTCATGGCAAGAGGAGCTTCTAAAATGTCATGCAAAAAAAGTTAATTACCATCATCCTGAATAATTTTTTGTAAGTATTCTGCCATGAGTGTTCTTAGAGCTCTCTTGTATGGTTTTCCAAGTCTGTGAGGGAAAACTAATGAAGTGTCCACAACTGTGCCATGTGTAATCTGAAATTTAATAATTAAAATGAGTTATAAAAAGTTCTGTATTTCCATTTCAGACAGGATTCTACTTCGTCAAAATTATCTCCCCATTACGCAGACAGGATTCTACTTCGTCAAAATTATCTCCCCATTACGCCACCTAATTTTTCGATCGTGAAAATGGAAGCCATTGTAGGGATGACACACTGTCAATTTACCTCTTGAAAACCGATAAATTTATCCACATGGCAATATCATGATCCTTACATGACAGTTGTATTTGAACAGATAAAGGTGTCAGACCACCAATTCACCCACTCAATTTAGAACATAGGTAAAGGAGCCCTTCCCTGAAAAATAATAGTGCTTTTGTTGTCATTGTTTACTTAAAACTTACAAACAAATTTGGAACAAGAGGCTGTCAGAGTGACAGCAAACCGGATTTTCCTGCAGAGGTCGAACCCTGAACAGTTGAGCAAGTATGGACACTACATTTAAGCTTAAAATAGCTCTGAATTTGGATTGTGATTGAATATTTGACACAGCATAGGTTTGTGACACAAAATGAATGTGGTTTAAGAACTGAAATACTTGAAATTGGACATTTAAATACCTATATCCAATATCAAAAATCTAAGTACATATTAGAATCAGCATATCAAAGAACCCCAAGAATTCAATTTTTGATGAAATCAGACAAAAGTTTAATTTAAGACCCTTTGGACCTCAATGTGGACCAATTTGACAAAGGAGCCCACAATCCAAAATATCTCAATACATGGTTAGATTCAGCATTTCAAAGAACCCCATAAATAATTTTTTTGTTGAATCAAACAAAAGTTTAATTTTGGACCCTGATTTGGACAAACTTGAAAACTGGGCCCAAAAATCTAATATTTAAATACAGGTTCAGATTCAGCATTTGAAAACCCTATATATATTTAATTTATGTTGAAATGAAACACAGGTTAATTCTATCCATAATATTTTCTGTGCAAAGGGAAATAACTCAAACTGGATAAATAGTTCTCTAAAATAAGATCTGATGCAATTTTTCAAATTATAATCAATAATATAATAACAACAACCAGTGATGACTAAGTTCTCTAAAATTAGATATGATTTAACATTCAAACATTGCTAGAATCATCATATCAAAGAACCAAAGAATTCAATTTTTGATGAAATTAATCAAAAGTGTAATTTAGGACCCTTTGGACCTCAATGTGGTATTATCTTATTAATAATGAAAAGAAATACAGGTTTAGATTAAGCATTTCAAAGAACCCTATATATATTCAATTTATGTTGAAATCAAACACAGTTTAATTTTGGACCCCAATTTGGACCAACTTGAAAACTGGGCCCAAAATCAGAAATCTAAATATATGTTTATTAATAGACAATATAAGCTTAGTTGAAGGAGTTTACTTCATCAAAAAAAAAAATATATATAGCATTCAGAAAATTAGTTTTTACAGAATAACAAACAAACTTGCCACAAAATTCTACAAACAATTTACCAAAGAAAAGAAGAAAAAAATCCAAAATTTTATTTATCATTAATACAATGTCATTTCAAAATCTATAAAACTTATCAGTAACAAGAAATAATTGTAACAGAATGCTGTTACAAAGCTCCAATAATTCGTCATTCCCATTGTCGCTTGACATTGGGCAATGTCCAGTACAAATTGGTTTATGATATGCATTAGTGACGCCTATGGATTGACCCTGTATGTCATACAAATCTTCTTGAAATTACGACAGGAATTTATATGGTTTAGGGGTGGAGATCTCGACCGTTTACAAGTTCTCAAAAGGGGGGTGATCCCCAGGGGACTCTCCCTTTATTTCATATGATTTGTTTTTTTGTCCTGTACAAGAAGATATATGGTTTACGGGTAGGGATCTTGACCGTTTACAAGTTCTTAAACGAGGGGGTGGGGGTGACCCCAGGGGACTCGCCTTATATTTCATTTGATTTGTTTTATGGTCCCATACAAGAATATATATGGTTTCCGCATGGGGATCTTGACTGTTTACAAGTTTTCAAAAAGAAGGGGGGTGGGGGTTACCCCAGGGGATTTCCTCTTAATTTCATTTAATTTGTTTTATTGTCCCATTCAAGAATATATATGGTTTAGGGGTGGGGATCTCGACTGTTTACAAGTTATCAAAAAGAAGGGGGGGTGGGGGTGACCCCCATGGACTTCCCCTATATTTCATTTGATTTGTTTTATTGCATACAAGAATATATATGGTTTAGGGGTGGGGATCTCGACCGTTTACAAGTTCTCAAACAGGAGGGGGTGGGGGTGACCCCAGGGGACTCGCCTTTTATTTTTTATTTGATTTGTTTTATTGTCCCATACAAGAATATATATAGTTTCAGGGTGTGGATCTTGACTGTTTACAAGTTTTCAAAAAGAAAGGGGGTTGGGGTGACCCCCATGGACTTCCCCTATATTTCATTTGATTTGTGTTATTGTCCCATACAAGAATATATATGGTTTAGGGGTGTGGATTTCGACCGTTTACAAGTTCTTAAACAGGAGAGGGTGGTGGTGACCCCAGGGGACTTGCCTTGTATTTCATTTGATTTGTTTTATTGTCCCATACAAGAATATATATGGTTTGGGGGTGTTGATTTTGACTGTTTACAAGTTTAAAAAAAAAAGGGGGGTGGGGGTGACCCCAAGTGACTCCCCCTCAATTTCATTAAATTTGTTTTATTGTCCCATTCAAGAATATATATGGTTTAGGGGTGGGGATCTCGACTGTTTACAAGTTATCAAAAAGAAGAGGGGTGGGGGTGACCACCATGGACTTCCCCTATATATTATTTGATTTGTTTTATTGTCCCATTCAAGAATATATATAGTTTAGGGGTGGGGATCCTGACGGTTTACAAGTTCTTAAAAAGGAGGGGGTGGGGGTGACCCCAGGGGACTCACCTTTTATTTCATTAGATTTGTTTTATTGTCCAATACAGCAATATATATAGTTTCGGGGTGGAGATCTTGACCGTTTACAAGTTTTCAAAAGGAAGGGGGGTGGGGGTGACCCCCATGGACTTCCCCTATATTTCATTTGATTTGTGTTATTGTCCCGTACAAGAATATATATGGTTTAGGGGTGGGGATCTCGACCGTTTACAAGTTCTCAAACAGGAGGGGGTGGTGGTGACCCCAGGGGACTCACCTTTTATTTCATTTGATTTGTTTTGTTGTCACACACAAGAATATATATGGTTTCAGGGTAGGGATCTTGACCGTTTACAAGTTTTCAAAAAGTAGGGGGGTGGGGGTGAACCTGGGGACTCCCCAAATATTTCATTTGATTTGTTTTATTGTCCCATACAAGAATATATATGGTTTAGGGGTGGGGATCTCAACTGTTTACAAGATAAATTGCATTCTCAAATTGAAAAGGGATGGGGGTAAGAATACATATGGTTTAGGGATACTTAATTATCTACAAAATGTCTACTAATGAACAGTAAATTTCAAGTTTCATTTATACAGTACTACTAGTAAATTTCAAACTTTATATATACAGTCCTACAGATCTTATCAGGAAACAGAAAATTTTCAAATAAATCTGTCACTCCAATAAATTATATGCTAAGATATAACCCAGATCTAATTAATAATTAATAATGTAATTACCTTCAAAATGTCTAATAATATAGCTTATAATCATTACCACTTTGGAAATAGATAATTTTCAAATAAATCTGTCATAAAAAAGATAACAAGAGTAAAATATTTAAAAATTCCACTTTTGGATATTAAAAATGGCGATAACTCACAAAGGAGATATACTAATATCTTGAAAATTGAACTAGACCTTCATTAAGTCCCAGGAAACAAATATTTAAATTTGAAAAAAAATTGTTAAAGCGTTTTCATGTTATTGTGCTTACACTGTTTGGCAGCCGCCCGTAGAGCCGCCCAGCCGCCCGCCGTACATCACCATTTTAATAACCGATATTTCCTTCGAAAATCCGTTTAAAAACGAAAGTTCTGGTGAAAGAGAAATTTATGTTGACCCAAATTTAGTTTGCATTAAAAATTGAGGATTAATGCAATCCATAGTATACTTATTTAAGATTTCCAGAAAACCAGGGGTTATTTTAAGTAGTACTTGACTTCCAAACTGTAGTATTTTGCTACAAGACTTTAAACATTGGTTAAAAATTGACATGTAGAAAAGTGATACATATACAATTCAGGATATACCTGGTTTCTATGAAGTTAAACTTAAGGTAAAATATTTAGAAAGCTGTGAAAATTGCAAAATTTGGTTGAATAGATAGGGATTTTGAATTGATGGTCTGACACCTAAATGTATTTACTAACTACAAAGCATCATTTAATATACTTTTAGGCCTTTTGTCAACTTAAAACTATTATCTGATTGGTTGTCAGGGGGAAATTTTCAAAAGTCCAAAAAACACTAAAAAAATCTATTTGATGTTAAAAAGCTTATACTAAAATGTACTACATGAACAAGGATTAAGAGCAATAACATTTGGATAAAAGCATATCCCAAACTAATACCTTAAAGAATTTTGAAAGAATTAAGCAGAAATAGTATGAAATTCATACTTAAAAATAACTATTTTAACTTTGACAGTAAACAAAACAGACAAATTAAAGGATAGCAATACATGACACACTTTTTAATGAATCGTTAAACTTTGTTATATGAAATAAACTGTTATCACAGAGATATGTCTCGCCTTTTTGTACTTTTGATAATGCAAATGTTGAAATTAAAATAGCAATACTTTAACATGTAAGTTATGCAAATATTCAAAGTCAATGAACCATGACTGAAGGTACATGGCAAAACAATCTCAATGGAAATGAGATGTGCCAATGCTAATACAACTGCATACCAAATACCATAGACTTATCATAAGTCGTTCCCTTTCAACAAACCTAAACACAAACATTGACTTGTAAACTATGTAAAAGTTTCAAAGTCAATGAACCATGATGAGGGGATGGGGCTATATAATCTCCATGGAGACGTCACTTGCAAATGCTAATAAATTTGCATACCAAATATCATTGACGTAACATTAGCGGTTCATCTTAAACTGATCTAATCACAAACTAATACATGTAAACTAAGCAAAAGTTTCAAAGTCAATAGACCATGATTGCGGGAACGGGAACAAATATTCTCCATGGAAATGAGATATGCCAATGCTTATACAACTGCATACCAAATATCACTGACTTACCACTAGTGGTTCCCCTTGAACTGACCTAATCACAAACTAATAAATGTAAACTAAGCAAAAGTTTTAAAGTCAATAGACCATGACTGAGGGGGTGGAGCCAAATAATCTCCATGGAAATGAGATATGCCAATGCTTATACAACTGCATACCAAATATCATTGACTTACCACTAGTGGTTCCCCATAAACTGACCTAATCACAAACTAATACATGTTAACTAAGCAAAAGTTTCAAAGTCAATAGACCATGACTGAGGGGGCAGGGCCAAAAAATCTCCATGGAAATGAGATGTGCCAGTGCTAATACAACTGCATACCAAATATCATTGACCCATAACCAGTGGCTCACCTTAAACTAGACCTAATCACAACCTAATACATTGTTGATGCCGCCGCCGCTGGAAAACAGCATACCTATGTCTCGCTTTTTGACTCTGTCAAGGTGAGACAAAAAATAGGCTAGGCAGTGCGATAGGTCATAGTTCTAACCCTGGCTGGGGCAAACCAAAGACTTAAAAATTGGTATTTGCTGTATCTCCGCTAAGCAAGTGGCATTTAGGAGTATGAGCAAAGACTGATTGGCTCAGAATAATGTGTCCAGGTAGGTCTTCCTGAGAACTGTATTAAACCTTGTGAACAATCATGTTAAAAAATCCACTAAGCATGTCAATCTAGTACAAAGCTTAGTTAATATTCAAATCACATTATCATTTCCCAACCTGAATATGCATCTAATTTACCACTGGAAGTTAAATAGCCATCCATCATCATCATCATCCAAAGATGAACAATGACTTAGTATTTAATATCTATAAGCTACAATTTATAGTTGCTGAGATAAAATCCAACAATTTCTTTTTACTTCTGCATCAATATACATGTATCTATCAAGAGGAAGTGATGGATATGAAAGGTGTTACAGGGTATAGCTTACCAATAAAAATTTGGTACCAAATATCAAGAAAATCTGATTTGTACTTGCTGAGAATAATGCTAGAGAATTGTGTCATGGACAAATACACAGAAGAATGGTCAAGATAGAGGTAAACCAGTATAACTCCACTTCAATGGAATAGAGGTATAACAATTTACATCCAGATATCTTGTTTACCACTGAATCAAGCCTGAATGAACTTCATTTTTGGAAGTTTTAATGAAAGACAGAAACATTTCAACAGACAAATATAATAAACCAACAGAAATTAAACTGTACTTTTTATATAACTCTTGTCACCCAAGATATATATAGCAGTGAGGCATAAACATTTTGTATATTTGGAGAGAAAAAAAATACACAAAAATGAGAACATTGAGCTTATTTGGAGGCAAAGACTAGCTTATTTGGAGGAAAAGACTGAAAGAGCTAAAAGTATTATAGAGCATAGGAATTAGCCTGACCACTTCATTGATTATGGAATTCAAAAAGCCTATGGATAAAGAACAAGAGTGCACACACTGAAATGCCGCACCAGCTTTACAGATCATGAATGAATTTTATGTTGAAAGTCTTTTAGATCAATTGCTTATTATAGAAATAACAAACACTAGACAATGATCAATGAAAATAAGGTCAAGGTCAGATCAATATGTACACATTATAACAATTCTATATATCTAATATAGATTGTCATTTAGCTGTGTCTAAATTTTGTCACAATAACACAATTTGCCCACAATGACATTGCACCTCCTTTGTCTGCTCTTTTATAACAAGTTGGACTGTCAGCTGTTGCTTGCTAATGACACCCCTTATAAGTATTTGTAAATAAGTAATGGTGAGCAATGGATGTGATAAACACATCAAATGGTATAACATGCATGCTAACATGAATGTTGACACCAAATTTCAGGATACTCTAATTCATAATTCCTGAGAAAATTTCAATCTTATTATACTTATGTGTAATAATATTTGAGTATTCAGTAAACAGGAAGTTGATGAGTGATGAATGTGGAAATGCATCACACCATATAACATGTTCACATAAAGCCTGATAACAATTTTAGGAAGGTTTAATATGCAGTTCCCAAGAAAAATGTGATGCAAATATCATACATGGTCATTATGCGTAACAATATAAAAGTATTTGTTAAACAGGAAGTGGATGAGCATTGATATCGAAAATGCATCACACATTATCGCATGTTCTATGGAGCTTGTAACCAAATTTCAGGAAACTCTAATTTTAGTTTGTGAGATGGATAGACACATGGACAAATGTAAACAGTATACCCTACACCTAGCTTTTGACCAAATCAAATATGAGTCACTGGTCTTACCCAGAAAGATATTTTACCAACATTAAAATCTTAGAATAAGAGATCTTACAATGTGGGTGAAATATCCTCTTGGGAAAGGCATTGACATATTAATATATCATTGAAAAAGTTCTCAAAATTAGGCTATTTCAATAGTTTTTGAAGTTTTTCATGAAAGGCAAAATGTTTGAAGCCCTAAAGCAAATAAGTAAGACACAGTTCAAAGATACAAATACTGCTATCTGATAGATTTCTAAGGAACATCTGAAGGATGCTTTGATAGATAATAGTATACCTTTTGAATTTCAAATTCAGAGGCCAAAAAAGTGGCCTTATCATACATGTACCTTCTCCTTTGTGATCACTTTATTTAATAAGAATGTTAAATTCTTCTTTTCTTTAACAGAATTTAAGTTTTTTTTTATCAAAATCTGTCATAACATCGGAAATCAACAGTTTCAAATGTTTCTAGTAAGCTTTCTTTTGGGACTAGTAAGGCTATCAACTCAAGTGTACTATAAAAAAGTATAGAAAGGAAGGAAATAAACATTGCTTAGAAGTGAACACTACAGACACTTAAAAGATTTATCTAGCATGTCTAGTGAAATCTATTACCTTAACAGCTGTAAGATCACTTTCCAGGCTATGTCCCATCAGAATTGTTTTGTCTGTTACTAAACTTAAAAGAACAGCCTGCACATCACGTAAAGATGTTGTTACTTCTTCCAAATCATCTTCTGTAATGCCACTAAATCTGATAATAAATAGGAAAAGAATGCTAACAAATATCAAACTTCATACTATTAAACTAAGGATTAATATTCTAAAATTCAGATTTTTAACCATGACCATTTCTTTTCTAATTCAACCACTGTAGGTCTTTAATATACATTTTTACAGTGAACTCAAAATAATTGCAAACCTCTGTTATTTGCATTAAAATTCAAACACAAACTAATTCCTATCTCTTTTTAATGTAAAACATGTATCAAATATATGTATCAAGACAAGTCATATTACCCTGTTGCAATGTAACTGCATAAAATATTTGAAAATTTGATTCTAAATAGCCTGCATCTCTTATAGGATCTAGCCCACTATAAACAAGAGTGCACACCCTAAAATGTCTAACTTGTTTTAGTGAAATGAGGTCAATTTCAAGTGAATTTTGCCTGATTGACATGTAAACCTTGCAATGATTTTATATACTAAATATTGCTATCCTATCACTACTAATAAGTGAATAAAAAATGAGAAAAAAACTTTATAGTTTAATAAGTCACTGCTATGAAAATAAGATCAAGAACAAAAGACATAGGCCAGACTGAAACTTCATAACATAAGGCTCAAGATATGAAGTATCCAATGCCTTCTGCAATATAAAGCTTTATACAAATAGTTTGTGTTGCCCCCACCGATAATCTTCCCTGTCTCACATTCTGCAACCAATCACAAGACAAAAATGATGACCACCCTCCAACCCATCTTTTTCAAGTTTAGAAACAGTTACTTTGCCCAGTATTTTAGATTTTCATTACACTTCAAAATTGATCAGAATAAAGGATCATTTTTGGCTTTGATTGGAGTGTCCTGTTTTTTCAGATGGCTTAAATATTGATATTGATCGTAAACATATCATGCAAGTTGAGTAAAAATTGCTAATTCACAGGATTTTACTGAATCTTAGTTTATTTGATTTTTTTTTGTCATGCAGAGAGAGATGTTCAGAGGTGGTTTAAGTCATTAACCATAAATTAAATAAAATAAATCATTTAACCACAGTTTGGTAGCATTTGGTGATTTTGGTCCTTCATTTGATTCTTCAGAATTTTTTTCGTATAGTTTGAAAAAAAAATGTGTCAGGTTTATTTTGAATCAATGGTGGCAGTGTTTAAGGGTGGATGTGGCAATCAACCATTATTCATGAAGAGTATCATAAATATATTGTTAAAGTCATATGATACTTCAAATTTTTAAAACAGTTCAATATGTTTTATGTAGTTGAATGGCTAAGTTTTACTATAAAACATTTTCATAGACTTCCTTCTAAAAGAAAATTCTTTATTTTATCCCAAAATGTACAGTTTTGAAAGTACTTGTTTTGGTAAAAGCACTCAAATAAGCAAAACAGTAGACATAAATGACTCATTTTTTAAAGATGACAGCCTTAATGATGCATGTGGCAAAATTTGGTCCAGACTTTTTTTTAAGTTTAAGGACAACCATGTCAGACTCTCAGTGTTTGCTAGTACTGGGCAAGGTGAGCTAAAAAGCTTGAATTTATTTAATAGAGGAAGATAAACACTTCAGGAACCTCAATTTAACAGTTAATACCTTGTGTTCAAATCAACAATTTCATTGTCAGGTTTGACAAAACTTTCATATACAGCTGTGCTGTCATGATCACAAACTGATATCCGTGCCAATTCTACACCAGCAGTAGTATATACCTGTAATTTGAAAAAGTTAGCACATAATTTTATCTAAAAATCTGTTCTGACATCCTATTTGATAACATCATCACAGGAAATTTTGACAAATCAGTGAGAAAAATGTTTCTTACGGCAACATAATGATCATGTTACTATCTTTTAGACAAATATTCCCTAGACATGTTAAGTTTTGACAGATACTATCAGCAAGATTTTGACTTATGATCAGAGAGTTTTTATAGACAAATAGTGTTTCTATTGTTATATACTGCAGAAGCACATGTTTGATATGGAATATTTTCTACTGATTTTCTATATAATTATTCAACAATCATGCATATAATAAATATTATCAAAGATAGTGTTCAGACATTGTATATTTCTATCACACATGCTTTTAAAGTCATTTGACACTTCAAATTTAACCAAAAAGTTGAATATGTTTTATATACTGGAATGGCCAAGTTTAACAATAAAAAAATGTGTAAATAGACTTTCTTTAAAAGAAAATCATTTATTTTATCCAAATTGACAGAAATGTACTGCTATTTAAATATTGTCTTTCTATCGTCTAATTCCCTAACTCCTTTTCCATATGCACTGACCTTAACCATGACACTTTTCATTAGAAACTTGACAATCCCACAGCGCAAAAGCCAGGGAAAAACTGTGATGAATGAAAGGTAAGCAAACATGGAATGAAGATAGTATAAACCAATTGTGAAAGAAAACTTTTAATACACTAAATCATTTAACAACTATTATGACAAAATTTAATTAACAAATAGGACCTCATAGATAAAATAACAAAACCCAAATATATACAATCTATCATTACACTTATTTTTCATGTGCTCCATGATTCTGTGTTAATTGTTTATCATTATTTAACAATCAGTAAACTTGGACACCAAAATCCGATAGGTAATTAGCAGGCAAAGTTTTTCTTCAACACTAACATCAGACAATGTAAGCGTTATTATCTTTCAAAGCATTTTTTGATAGCATGTGTGTAATATTACTTTTTTAGAATATATATATATATATAAATTTCAAATTTTTTAAATGTGTTAACTGTATTAAAAATAATGTCTATTGTACAATTCTTTACACAGCATCTGTTCTGTTATTGAATGTCAAGAGATAATATGGCTGAGCATAAAACTGGTTCAATCAATTGCATGTTTATGTGTGTGACAGTGGTGGACACTGATTCAGGTTTTTTTCTAATCAGGTATTTTGTATATATGTCAGATTCTACCGGTATTTAAAATTTATTCCCCATTTATTTAAACTTGGATTGATATATAGCTTGCCAAATGGTTCTAAAGAAGGCCATATGGTAACATCTATGTATATTTTTGGTAAACTTGTATTGTTTGGTGGCATTCTCATTGAGGTTTAGATAAAATTCTCCAGTAATTTGTGGTAAAATATTTACTTTTCAGAAGGTTTGGCTGGAACAGAGGAACTACTTCCCATTTTTTTTAAATTAGGCCAAAAAAAGGGACTTTTTTGCATCTGTGCTGAAGACAAAAACTGGTTTATTTTATAGCAGCAATATTCAAAGTTCGTTAATCTTTCAAAGGTCTTAATTGATGAGTTGTCTAAGTAGTGCAACTACTGTATCACTAGCCTGTCAACACTGAGGTTGTGAGTTCGAACACTGCATACAGTAGTTGTGCAAGACTCCAATCTTAATTGCCTAGGATTGTCAGTGCACTCCAGCTTCCTCCACCAATAAAAACTGACCACCACAAAATACCCAATAGTAATGAAGTGGCTTTAAACACTAATCAATCAATCTTTCAAAATAAGGTCAAATTGGAAACACACATTTCTTACTTTTCAAGGTTACTGTACTTCAAAAATAATTTTATAAGTCTAAAATACTTATTCTACATACCATTTCACAATCTAATGCAAACACTCCATAATCCCCATCGACTGGTGGAGAACATGGTTGAGTTTTCATATAACCAGATAAATTCTCCCATTTATTTGTATCATGGACATGACTCTGAAATAAAAAAGAGGTACTGTAAATTCTGAAATTATTGCGAAGTTTTTATTAATGCAAATAATAAGACTACTTGAGTATTGTAATAATAAGAACTCACATTCTGATATCAAATACATATATATGTATGTAGCTTTTCCTAAAATCACAATAATTAAACTCGCATTTTTGTTTTTTCTTAAAATCTTATAATCATCACCACTTAGGTAAAAGAAAGTTTTCAAATAAATCTGTCACTCCAATTATAATTGTGAGATAAGACATTTACCATATGCTAAGTCATAATGTGATAACAAGAGAAAAATATTTAAAAATACCACTTTTGGATATTAAAAATAGCGATAACTCAAAAAGGAGAAATACTAAAATCCTGAAAATTGAACTTGACCTTCATTTAGTCACAAGAAACAACATATCTAAATTTGAAAAAAAAAAATCACAGCATTTTCATGTTATTGAAGAGACACTGTTTGGCAGCTGCGTGTCCGGCCGCCCGCCGTACATCCCCAAATCAATAACGGATATTTCCTTCGAAAATCCGGTTATTAAAATTATGGAAAATTGAAAACAAATATCATCAAAACTTTGCTTTAATCATAAAGAAAATGCTCTGCTAGGCACAGCTTGATACAACCACAGAAGTGGAACCCTGAACAGTTGGGGCAAGTAAGGACACAACATTCAATAGAAAAACAAAGGATATGGGGTATACATCCATGACACAAAATCAGTAAATGCACATGAAAAAACATACAAAAAGCAAAGGAAAAAATGCTTTTATTGCTGTTCTTCATCCCAAATTCACAGTTTCTGAATCTGGATTGTGATTAAATATTTGACACAGCATAGGTTTCTGACACAGAATGAATGTTGTCTAAGAACTTAAAAATTTGAAATTGAACATTTATTTATTATGGTCCAATACCCAAAATCTAAATACATGGTTAGATTCAGCATATCAAAGAACCCCAAAAATTCAATTTTTGATGAAATACTTATTAATTAAAACAATTTTTGTTCAAAGGGAAATAACTCAAACTTGTTTCCATGAACCAGTAATGCTAATCTAAAATTAGATATGATTTCACCACTAAATAATTTCTTCGCTGAGTGCAGCTGGATACGACCGCAGAGGTCCAACCCTGAACAGTTGGGGCAAAAATGGACACAATATTCGCGCTTGATACAGGTCTGAATTGGATTGCAATTAAATATTTGACACATACATGTAATAGGTTTCTGACACAGAATAACTGTAGTCAAAGAACTTAGAATTGGTTATTTTTTTTTTTACCCATATTTTAAATAAATTTTAATCGTAAGATTTTTTGTGAAAAGAGTCGCTGAAATCTGAAATGAGAAAAAATTGTCCCCCCACCCCCTTTTTTCATAAAAAAAATTTGTAAGGGTTCCGCTGAACCCAGTGTCTCGTCTACTTTTGCTGTTAATCGCAGGCTCAACAAAAATGAGGAAAAAAATTAATAAAAATATTCCTCTCTATACTATCTTTTGATTGTAAGTAGCTTCTGTCCAAGTTTGGTAAAAATCCAGGATAGTTTATGAATCTAATAAATGTTTTAAAATCTTAAACTGCAGACTGTATGTAATGTAAACTGGAAGAAAAACTAAGTCCATTTATAAGTAAAATATGGAAAAAATGGAACAAAATTTTAACAAAATTTCCTTCTAGATACTAGCTTTTAATCATAAACAAGCTTCTGTCCAAGTTTGGTAGAAATCCAGGATAGTTTAAGAAATTTATTAAAATTGGAAAAACTTTAACCACAGAGTGAATGTAATGTTAACTGGCAGAAAAACTAAGTCCATTTATAGGTAAAATACGGAAAAAATGGAATTTTTTTTTTACAAAATTTACTTCTGGATACTATCTTATGATCATAAACAAGCTTCTTTCCAAGTTTGGTAGAAATCCAGGATAGTTTAAGAAAGTTATTAAAATTTCAAAAACTTTAACCACAGAGTGAATGTAATGTTTCCTGGGAGAAAAACTAAGTCCATTTATAAGTAAAATATGGAAAAAATGGAATTTTTTTTTTTTTTGAATATTATCTTATGATCATAAACAAGATTCTGTCCAAGTTTGGTAGAAATCCAGGATAGTTTAAGAAAGTTATTAAAATTTCAAAAACTTTAACCACAGATTGAATATTTGTGGACGCCGCAGACGACACCAACAACGAAGGAATGTAGGATCGCTATGTCTCGTTTTTTCGACAAAAGTCGAAGGCTCGACAAAAATGGAGTTTGCAACCATAATTACCCATTTAAATACATCATAAAAGTCTTAAAATAGAAAATGACAAAATAATCATGGCTAAAATTAATATTCCTTAATCAGCATTTTTAATATTAACTTCTAATAAAATGCTCCGCTGGGGCGCAGCTTGATACGACCGCAGAGGTCGAACCCTGAATAGTTGGGGCAAGTATGGACACAACATTCAAGCTTGATACAGCACTGAAATTGGATTGTAATTAAATATTTGACACAGCATAGGTTTCTGACACAGAATGAAATTGGTCTAAGAACTTAAAATTTTTTAATTTACCTATTCAAACCATATCATTATTATTTGCTTTTATATATAAATCAGAAATAACCAATTTAAAATGGAAAATTTTAAAGAAAAAAAAGGAAAAAAAAATCCCCTCCAAATATTTTGAACCCCCTTATGATTCATCACCCCCAAACTCAATCCCAGCCTTCCCTTTGTGATATGGAACCTTGCAGTACAATTTCATAAAGATCCATACACTTACACACAAGTTATTGTCCTGAAACTAGAAAAATGCTTGTTTTTTTGCCCTTTTATGGCCCCTAATTCCTAAAATTTTGAGGCAATTACCCCCAAAATCAATCCCAGTCTTCCCTTTGTGGTATGGTACCTTTCAGTACAATTTCAGAGAGATCCATACACTTGAACACAAGTTATTGTCTGGAAACTAGAAAAATGCTTATTTTTGGCCCCTTTTTGGCCCCTTATTCCTAAACTTTTTGGGCAATTAACCCCAAACTCAATTCCAGCTTTCCCTTTGTGATATGGAACCTTGTAGTACAATTTCATAAAGATCCATACACTTGAACACAAGTTATTGTCATGAAACTAGAAAAATGCTTGTTTTTTGCCCCTTTTTGGCCCCTAATTCCTAAAATTTGGAGGCAATTACCCCCAAAATCAATCCCAGCATTCCCTTTGTGCTATGGAACCTTGTGATACAATGTCAGAGAGATCTTTACACTTACACACAAGTTATTGTCATGAAACTAGAAAAATGCTTGTTTTTTGCCCCTTTTTGGCCCCCAATTCCTAAAATTTGGAGGCAATTACCCCCAAAATCAATCCCAGCATTCCCTTTGTGATATGGAACCTTGTGGTACAATGTCAGAGAGATCCATACACTTACACACAAGTTATGTCTTGAAGTTACAAAAATGCTTATTTTTGGCCCCTAATTCCTTAACCGTTGGTACCATAACCCCCAAAATCAATCCCCACCTTCCTTTTGTGGTATTGAACCTTATGGTAAAATTTAATAGAGATCCATTCACTTAAACTAAAGTTAGAGTGCGAAAACTAATGTGTCTTCGTACGACGACGACGACGACGCCAACGTCATACCAATATACGACCACAAAAAGTTTTTTTGCGGTCGTATAAAAATAAATTGACAGCTAATCACCTCAAGACAGTACAACATTTCTTTATACATAATTCAAAAGCAGTGTAAGGGAGGTAATCAAAACATAACATTGTACTTTTGTCCATTAACCAGGAAACCCTTGTTTTTTCCCCTTTTTTGCCCCTTATTCCTAAACGGCTTGAGCCATAACCCCCCAAAGCCAATTCTAACCATCCCTTTGTGGTATGGAAACTTGTGGTATAATTTCAGAGAGATCCATACACCTTTCCACAAGTTATTGTCTGGAAACTAGAAAAATGCTTATTTGGGCCCTTTTTGGCCCCTCATTCCTAAACTTTTAGGACCATAACCCCCAAAATCAATCCCAACCTTCCTTTTGTGGTTATAAACCTTGTGTTTAAATTTCATAGATTTCCATTTACATATACTAAAGTTATTGTCCGGAAATCAACTGTCTTCGGACGACGACGACGTGATACCAATATAGGTGTAATACCACCAAATCATAGTACGTCACATCCGGTTGCATACGAAAATAGGTCGAAAAAAATATTCCCTTGAATTTGACAGTTGTAGGTAATTGATCCTACATTTCATTGCAGTAAAACATTTCTGGGTCATAAACATATATCTTGGGTATTTCAAAGCACCATTATTTTTTTATTTGGGGTTTCTATAGAATATTTTGGAAACTTGAGGTTACATGGTTACTAAAGCTTGTACACAGGTTAAAAAAGGGGGAAAATTTGATTGGTTAACTTCCAGTGATGGTTATTTTCTTATATGCAATGAAATGTTATGTGAAATTTTTTCTATAGTACTGGACAGGATAAAACTTTACTCATGCCAAGTATTTCTTTATTTGAAACAAAGATAAATTCTGCACAATTTTTTGAAAAGTGCAAATTTAACAAAGACTAATAGGGGAAAATCAATGGTGGTATTACACCTATACGACCGCAAAATTTTTTATGGTCGTATAAAAATTGTTCTCTAAAATGAGATATGATGTTTTCAAGTTATAATCAAATATAATTAATAGTTCCAAATATTTTTTCTTTCATTTGTTACAAACTAATATCTTATCCGCAACTTATCTATCAATGTCAACAACTTTATCTACACAATGTAATGTAATGAAATATATCCTTTAATAAAAATAGATTATTATCTAATGAAAATGATATTTGCAAATCTGGACACCCAAACAGGATCAAGTAAAAATTTAACATTAACACACACAACAAAAATAAAATACCACAAACAACTGTGACGTCTACCTTCAAAACACACACGACTTAAAAAAAAAATAGTTATAAATTTTTGACAACTCCTGACTAATCAATTGAACAGATACTATCATTGATAGACTATCTATACATCTCAGCTATACATAAACTTATTAATTTCTGTTCAAAAGGGAAATAACTCAATCACATAATAAGTAAATTTCTGGTTTCTAAAAGGGTCCAAAATTCAAGAATGAGAAAAGCTAAAGTCGTGAAAATTGAACTCGACCTTCTTTTAGTCACAGGAAACAACATTTCAAAATTGAAAAAATTTCATCAAAGCGTTTTCATGTAAATGAACGGACACTGTTTGCCAGCCGCCCACCCGCCCGTCGTACATCCCCAAATCAATAATCGATTTTTCCTTCGAAAATCCGGTTAAAAATCTAAATACATGATTAGATTCAGCATATCAAAGAACCCTAAGAATTCAATTTTTCATGAAATCAAACAAAAATTTAATTTGAGACCCTTTGGACTCCGATTTAGACCAACTTGAAAACTGGGCCCAAAATCAAAAATCTAAATACATGATTAGATTCAGCATATCAAAGAACCACCAAGAATTCAATTTTTGTTAAAATCAAACTTAGTTTAATTTTGGACCCTTTGGGCCTTAATGTAGACACATTAATAAACCAGGCCCAAAATCAAAAATCTCAATACAGTTAGATTCAGCATATCAAGGAACCCCAAGAATTCAATTTTTGTTGAAATTAAACAAAGTTTAATTTTGAACCATTTGGACTTCCAATGTGGACCAATTTATAAACAGGGCCCAAAATCCAAAATCTAAATACACAGTAAGATTAAGCATATTGAAGAACCCCAAAACCCCATTGAAATTTGTCAAGAAATAAGCAATTTATACAAAGTATAAGAAAAGTATTGTTTTTGGCCCCTTTTTCCTAAACAGTTAGGGCCATAACCTCCAAAATCAATCCCAACCTTCCTTTTTTTGGTATGGAATGTTGTGTTTCAATCTTATACAGATCCATAGTCTTATACTCAAGTTATTGTCTAGAAACCAGAAAATCCTTGTTTTTTTTTGCACCTAATTTCTAAATGGTTTAGACCATAACCCCCAAAATCAGTCCCAACTTTCTTTTTGAGGTATATACCCTTGTGGTATAATTTCATAGAGATCCATACACTTATACACAAGTTATTGTCCTGAAACAAGAAAAATTAATTTTTTTGGCCCCTAATTCCTATACAGTTAGGACAATAACCCCCAAAATCAATCCCAACCTTCCTTTTGTAGAATGGAACCTTGTGGCACAATTTCATAGAGATCTATACACTTATACTTACATTGTAAGTTATTGTCTGGAAACCAAATGTCTTCAGAAGATGACGACAACAAGAATAAACTGCTTCGCTAAGCTCAGCTGGATACGCCTGCAGAGGTCCAACTCTGAACAGTTGGGGCAAAAATGGACACAATATTCAAGCTTGATAGAGGTCTGAATTTGGATTGTAATTAGATATTTGACATATTATAGGTTTCTGAATAAATGAAGTCAAAGAACTTGAATTGGTTATATGAATTGAATTTATATTCAATTAAAGATTTCTTGCTGTTGTGCAATACACTGTGCTGTTGCGCAATACTTAGTAAATCTGTTAACAGACTATAGCTATAAACAAATAAAATCTTATAACTCGGAAACTTAAAATCGAAAATTTATAAAAATCAAAAGAGAGCTTACAAAGATAGACATAAACAATTTACCAAAGTTTCATAAAAAATGCTGAAAGCATTTTTGAGTTATTGTCCGAAAAACTGGAAAATCCCCCATTTTGTAATGAATAAAACCCCATAAATCGGAAACGTATAGTCTAAAATTTATAAAAATCAAAAGGGAGCTCATGTCGATAGAAATAAACAATTCACCAAAGTTTCTTGCAAATTGGTGAAATTGTTTTTGAGTACTAGTCTGAAAACTGGAAAATCTCCCCTTTTTTAATGAATAAAACCCAAAAACTCGGAAATGGTATATCCGAAATTTATAAAAAAAGAAAGGGAGCTCAGGTCAATAGATATAAACAATTCACAAAAGTTTCATGCAAATTGGTGAAACTGTTTTTGTGTAATTGTCCGAAAACTGGAAAATCCCCCCTTTTTTAATGAATAAAACCCCAAAACTCGGAAACGATAAATCTGAAATTCATAAAAAACGAAAGGGAGCTCAGGTCAATAGATATTAACAATTCACTAAAGTTTCATGCATATTGGTTAAAGTGTTTTTGAATTAATGTCCGACATGTTGACGATGGACGGACGGACAGAAAGATTGACAGACGGACGGACAGACGGTCAACGGTATACCATAATACGTCCTGTAAACGGGCGTATAAAAATGACAATGACGACTACTACATCAATGACGACTATGATGTCGATGAAGAAATCGCCATACAATTTATGGCCACTAAAATTTTGTGGTCGTATAAAAAGGAAACAGAAAATACAAGTATCTACAAATATTTCCGATAGCAGATATCCGTCATCAGTATGATGTTAAATTAATCTTATCAATCTATTCTGATTTTACTAAAAACAATCTTGAACATAATACAAATTAAAATATGAAACATGCTTGCAAAATTTCAAAGTTTAACTTTACACAGATTAAGTCTTTACAACAGAGACTGCGTAGATATGCATTCAAAATAAATAGCACTGTGGGATATATATATAAGTTTAAAGATTTGTGCAATAATATTTCTAAAAAATATATACGAATAAGATGAAATAATATTGTAAAACAAAGTAAAAACTTTAATTTGATATTATTTCATCTGTATATTTGTATATATATTTTATATGTATAGTTGCATCCTCATTTCTAGATGATCTGTGATCAGTTTCACTAAAAATCTTACTACTAAAGTTAATCGGAGTATACTGAATTGTTCATGACTTACCATCAACTTTAGTTGTAAGATTTTTGTGAAACTGATCACTGATACCTATCAAATTTTAATAATTCCTGTAAAGTTATAAAAGTTTCATAGGAAAATAATCTTGAAATTTGTCAAAACAAAATGAAAAATTTACTTAAGAAGCCATGTTTTTTTTTTATCTAAATGGAATATAACTCTAAATGATGTATATCTTTAATACAATGTATCAAAGGAAAAGCATTTTAATAGCCATGGTTTACCTTGACATTCACTGGAAAGTCCTTAATCGTAAGGGAAAGAACTCACACCATAAAAGATCAAAATAATAGTATACAAACATACCTTAGCCACTTGACAGCCATCAGAATTGAAATCTCCTTGGCAACAATTATATCTACTGTCAAATATACCATTAACTGTAAAATAATAGATTATTGAATAACTTTTAAAAACAATCAATGTTCATGTTCATAAAACAACTCCAGTGAGTAATGGTATAAAAACAGAATTGACTTAAATGCTATTTTTTGTAAGCATATGTGACTCCAAGATTTAAAGCGACTGTTTTGATAACCTAGTGTCTATCTCAATATCAAGAACAGTAAAATAAATCCCCTTCAGTATCTTAATGTGTACCGGTAGTAACTTTAACAGGATATGAAATTTATTGTCTAGCGACAGTGATATCAATTTCAACACAATACTATTATCCTTCCAAATTTAAATTATTTGGCTGCATAATGATCATATTTGATTCAACCAAGCATGCTTACATTATTCACATAACTCTCAATCAGTACCAAATTCGGTCAAAAAAGGGACTTACCTTTTCGTTTCCAAGCTTTAGCCCAATGATAAATACATTCTTCTTGTTTGGCATATTTTCCAGTTGGGTAAACAATAAACTTTTTTCCACATCTCACACATATCTTCTCATGTACTGTAAATATAGTATAAATATAAATCTTTCTATTTAATTAAATATACATATTTCATAACTTAAGACTATAAATATTAAGATGGATTTAATCTCTGATGAATACAATAAATCAAACAACTTTTGGTCTTGAGTTTACCTGATAGAAATGATTTAAGAGACATGTCATGTAATCTGAAATTCACATCATGTTTATATTCTACAACTAAATTATTCTATCCATTTCAATGTCCCTGGGGGAAGGGCTTGTGAGTTTGAACCCTGCTCATGGCATTCCTCTTATAGTCAACATGGTCAATGGAAACAGACTATTTGTTCACTTCCCTTTCTTCATTTTTCTGAAACAAATATTTTTTTCACAAGAAATTTTGAATCAAAAGATTACTTTAAGAAATAACCTGTTATCACAGAGATATGTCTCGTCTGTGTGTAATTTTTATAATAATATGCAAATGTTGATATCAAAACAACCATTTTTAACATGTAAACTATGCAAAACAACCAATGTCAAAAAATATGACTAGAGGTTCAGGGCCAACCAATCTACGTAGAAATGAGATGTGCCAATGCTAATACAACTGTGTATCAAATATTATTGAATTATCATAAGTGGTCCTCCTTAAACTGCCCTAATCACAAACTTGAACATGGAAACTATGCAAAAAATTCAGTCAATGAACCATGATTAAAGGGGGCTGGGCTATATAATTTCCATGGAAATGAGATTTGCTAATACTAAAACAACTGCATACCAAATATAATTGACTTAGCATAAGTGGTTTTCCTCAAACTGACCTGATCACAAACTTTAACAAATTGTTGACGCCACCGCTGTTGATGTAGCTGAAAACAGAAGGTCCCAGTCTCTAACCATAAAATCCCACTACCCCCCCCCCCTCCCCCCTCAAAAAAAAAGAAGAAATATACTGTGCCTAACTGCTACAGATGTTAACAGAAATTTTAGTTCCATTTCATATGATGTACATTTAAGGGCATACAATACAGAAAAGATCTCTTGTTGATGATTCCTTAATATTTTGACACAAGTCAATTTTGATATGCAAAAATAATATATACCTTTAGGACTTGTTTTGTTACTTTAACTTTCAAATGGAAAGAGATTTTCAACTGTTTTTTTTTGTAAAGTGTTCCTTAATTCATAGGCCTTTAAGGAAGTCCCTACAAGGAAGGCTGAATGTGATAACAAACATTTTGTGAAATCAAACAAAATTGGTAATAAATAGCTGTAGACAATTTTTTTTGCCAATACAAATACATACGGAATAAAATGCTCTACCGGGTACAGCTTACGGAATAAAATGCTCTACCGGGTACAGCTTGATATGACTGCAGAGGTCGAAACCTAGTATGGACACTACATTCAAGCTTTAAACAGCTCTGAATTTGGATTGTGATTAAATATTTGGCATAACATAGGTTTCTGGCTCAGAATGAATGTTGTTTAAGAACTTAACAATTTGGAATTGAACTTTTACCTTTCATGGTCCAAAATCCAAAATCTAAATCTATGGTTAGATTCAGCATATCAAAGAACCCCAAGAATTCAATTTTTGATTAAATCAAACAAAGTTTAATTTTGGACCCTTTGAACCTCAATGTGGACCAATGTAATAATGGGGGTCGAAATCCAAAATCTAAATACATGGTTAGATTCAGCGTATCAAAGAACCCTATATATTAAATTTTTTTTTAAATCAAACAAAGTTTTATTTTGGACCCCAATTTGGACCAACCTGAAAACTGGGCCCAAAATCAAATCTTTGATTCAAAATATCAAAGAACCTCAAAAATACAATTATTGATGAAATCAAACAAAGTTTTATTTTGGACCCTTTGAACCTTAATATGGACCAATTTGAAAACAGGGCCCATAATCACAGGGTTAAAGGACAATGATAAGGGTTGTTTTTGGCCCCCTCTCCAAATAAGTTTATATTAATATCATTGATGGTCTTAGTAAGAAACTTGAAAAAACAATGATTTTATATTGTTCTGGTGAAAGGATGGTTGCCTAGCAACGGTTTTAGTTAAGTATCTAAATTATCACATAGGAATTGCTTTATCTGTACAAATTCAAATATTTCAAAAATAATATTGTTTGTCCAAGAAGAACTTGAGGTCACAAATAAAATTCCATTTTGATTTCGTTTAATATGTGCTTAGAAACAACCTAGCAACAGAAATTTTGCCTAGCAACGGTTAAAAAATGTGTGTTTTTTCCCTCTGAAGCATGCAAATAGCAGTTATTTGAAGACTTTACATTTCCATATGGTGTTTCAATCCCATATACTATCATATACATCTTTATTCTTAACAAATTCCGTATTGAGCATAGCAACGGGAAAATATGTTTGAATTGAAGACAAATACAAATCAATTAGTCATTTTATTGAACAAACTAAATGAAATGTAATGCAGACTGTCTGTTGATGAACAACTTTTAATTAGAAATGAAAAGTAAGTTCAATTGTAGTTCACTTACTGCTTATCAACAACGAAGCAACATAACAAGTGCTTAGCAACCGTTCAATAATAGTTCTTAATGTTATCTGAAGTATGAATTTAGTCATTTTAAAAGAATGTACTTTCCCATATGGTGTAACACTATAATACAAACATCATTAAGAGTATCATTAATCCTTTTTTTAAGAATTCCATATCGAGCATAGAAACCCACATGTTGCTAAGCAACAGCAAACACTTTCTTAAATTAAAGACAACTTCACAACCTATGTTTTAATGTGAAAGTCTTTTCATAAAAACACGAATTTAAAGGATTTACTAATCATGGGTGGGTCTGAATAGATTTTAAAGATAGTCAACAGTTAATGAAATGAAAGAGACTTGGCTTGTACCACACATAGTTCTCGTAGGGAAATAAAATGTCTAAGAATATATATGGTTTAAGGGTTGAACATATGAAGCTCAATCATTTTACCAAGAACAAAACATCATTTATTTGACCTTGAGATTAACGGCAAAGGTCATAATGATATTGAACTGATATCTCATTGCTATACACTTTATGCCAAATATTATAAGTCAATGTCACAAAATTAAATAAGTGTGGGCTCGGACAAGTGTGTATGAGAATAAAATCCAGAAAAAGAAGAAGAATACTTAAGTTAAACATAATGTATCCATTCAGTTCATCTTGGAAGAAAGGGGAAAATGATAAAAAATAGTGAGAACTGAGTACTGTATAAACTGCTGTTTCTTTCGATGAAATGAAATATGGAACGATTTTTTTATCTGTAATTATGATGTGGATACTTGTGATGACAAACAATGATACCTCTTTCCTATTGGGTAAAATCAATAATATATGTTTATTGTGCATTATGGTGTTTTTACAGCGGATGACCGTGAGGGTATTCCGGTGTATTTGCTATCGCCTAGATTTCCATTACGTATATGTAATATTCGTTTTTGGTTTTTAACCGATCTATAAACATGATGAATACGTAGACATCATCAAGTGCAAACTAACATTCCTTATCGCTTGTTATAAATTCATTTCTTCAATGAATACTCATCAAATACTGTTTAAAGAAGATTAATTAATAATATTGAAATGTTTTGTTATATGTATATACACATAAGTAAAAAATCATTAATATCTATGCACACATATGCGGAAGAATATCTCAAGAATGTTTGCAATCTCAAGGAATGATAACTCTGCATGGATGATTAAACATTTTTTGCGGGAAAATACGAATGCCTACTCAAATCCATTCTATTAGAAAAATCGAATTATTACAGAAGAGTGACGTGTCCACCATGCACTTGCACTGCACTTTTATTAATATAGCAGAATAGAATGATATACAAATGCATGAAAATTATATATACATGTAACTGTAATATACAAGTATTAATATAATATATAACAATAAACCAGAGTATACTGATTTGTATCACTACAATATAATAGTCATTACGGTGAGGATGCATTCGCTGTCATTAATTTGTCATCTGAGCGAACTTGTCCCTTTGTTTTGTTTTTATGTTTTTATAATGTTTTTATCAAAATGAACAACTGTACTTGGACATGTAAGATACTAATAAGAGTATAATTATGATCACAGAAGTCAATTTTTTGGGTTGAAGCTTATGTTTAAGAAAGGATTTGTATCAATAAGAAGAATTCATTTAAGTCATTGTACAATTAAACAAGCATTCTGAGAGTATTGCATAGCAATACATAGTCCACTACCGGTTAAAAATTCATTGTACTGGAAAAAAAATGCTAACTTGATATATAACTTGCCATGGTGTAAACTATCTAACAAGTATTGAGTCAATTTCTTCAAGCATGACGAAAATAAAGTGCGGATACTGATTATTTGAGCGATTTGTTTAATTCCAAGGACCATAGCTCTTCACAAAAATCATCAGACCGGAACAAAATTCGAACTTGATCTGTAACTTGTCATGACAAAACTATATACCAATTATCAAATCAATGTCTTCAAGCATGACGAAAAAAAATGGTTATTTGAGTGAATTTCTTAGTCCAAGAACCATAACTCTGCACTAAATTGTCCGGGGGTGGGGGGGGGGGGGGGGGGGGGGGGGGGGGGGGGGGGGGGGGGGGGCACTTCAATACTTAGTTGATAGGCTGGGTTTCTGTTACCCCCCTTTTCATTTGAATTTAAAAAAATGTATACCTTTTCATATATTGCGTAGGTTAAATTGTTACCTTTTCCCATATTGTTTTGGTTTCGTTTGGTGTGTAATGTAACAGTGGCCATGGAATACCAAAGTGCAAAAGGGAGAAAATTGGTTGATAAAACAAAGCCAGGAACACTAAAAAGATGACAGATGAAGTTTATTGACCTTATCATATATTTCTGATAGTTTTTCCGACCTATTCACATATTTTCAAGATAAAAAAGGTGACCTATTCCAGCGGCATGTCCTATCACCTTATGTATAGGAAGTGGACCTCCCGAGAAATTATCAGACAGAAACAAGAT